TTTTTCAAATATTTAAAAATAAACGGAATTTTAGAATTTTTGCTCGTTTAAAGGTGGTCATCATATCCCAGGAAGTAAGCCGAGTTGGAAATGTATTTTTTTATTAGTTTAAAAAATTTAAGGTGGTCGGATTGAACTTTAGTTGATTTGGTATGGAATTCAACATAATATTTCTGATCAATATTTTGTTGATTCTACGAATAATTTAGTTGCTATATATATTAATTCTAGTTTATACAATATTTAATTAAAATCATCAGATATTGTAAAAATTAAAATTTTTATTATAATATCACAGATTACAATATATTAAATTTTTATAAATCGGCAAATATTATATTATTATAAATGAGCAAATATTATATATTTATAACATAATAAAATATATTTTAATTAATTAAATATATATAATTTAACAATGGTTTATTCATATATTCTACAGGAAAACAAATGTTTAATAATGAAATGAATGCAAATTTGATTAATAAATTAATCTAAATTTTTGTCAATTAGTGAAATCTTTATTTGAATATTATTAGAAAATTATTAAAATGCATAAATATAAATTATGAAATATATCTTGGAATCCTCATTCTTCTTGTATAACATCTCACGATCTATTCTTCCACTTATCAACTTGTTTTTTTCCAACGAAATTAAGGATAACATTTTACCAATTTTTCTTAAAGTCATTTTTATAGACTAAGTATTTAACTCGTTCCACGGGAAATATTATATCTTTCAAATAATTTTTTACACATTTTTCGATCAAATTATTCAAAATTATTTGGATAATTTAAAATTATTCATATGCGAAATTCTTCTAATATTTTGAAATTATTTTTTTAACATGTTTCTTTGCGGAACATTTTACTTTTTTTTCATATCCATGAATTACTTTTTTAAATTTTACTAATTTATTTTTGAAATATTAGTAGAGAATTTAATTTTCGAATTTAATAATGTTTTTATTCCTACGAATACGAACCAATTATTTGATTCGAAAATACTTTAAAATGTAATCTCATTACCTTTATGTTACTTTCTGAAAAAAGGAACAATACTTTAATCGTTACTCTTCAAAAAAAAAAGAAACGCATTTCGAAAAGTAATATTTATACTTTTAAAATAAAATGCTATAACAGCTTTTACCACTTATTTTTCCCCAGATATTTTGCATAAAAGGATATAAAATACACTATTATGATTAAAAAATATAATTATCCATAAAATATATTTAAAAAATTTAATTATTATATTACATTTACAATATATTTTCCAACCATTTTTGAATTTATTTTTAACAATTTTTTAAAATTTAATTTTTAGCATCTAACCAGTGGCGTAGCTAGAAATTTTCCTTAGAGGGGGTCCATACATATAAAAGCGGCCGGGTTTATCTTACAAATCATAACCATATCTTCGATAATATATAATAAATATATTTTTTAAATGCATCAATAATATGTTATTATAATTTATTAGATTATTCTCAATGACTTTATAATAATACTATCCAGAATAATTTCAATAGTAATATAATATCCTTCCACAAACATCAAAACCAGAAAAATATAATTCATATAAAATCACTTTTAAGTCTTTTGAACGTATAATCTAAAAAAATTTTTTGCTCTGGGAGGGGTCCAAACCCGATAACCACCCCCTTAGCTACGCCACTGCATCTAACAGTTTTTCATATGCTAAAGACTGGTGTATATAGAATATATTTAATTATTGTTGTGTTTTGACCCTGGTTTGTGAATTCCATGAACGAGAGATTAGAGAATAGATCGAAGAAGGTCGATGTTCCCTGAATTTCATAGGTGAGGGCATGGAGAACCGAGTTAGTCAGATTTTATTCATTTGTCACGTACTAAAATCAAAAGAACAAACATAATAATTCGCGGGCGGTTTCAAAGGACGGCCCGGAGTCCGACTATTTTTATTTAAGCTAAGTTAATAAATTTATAGTTCAAAACTTCTTACCTTTAATTCTAATTCTTTTAAGTCAATTACATAATACCTATTTATAAAATAATTAATAAAATGACTTTATTTCTGCAATATTGCAGGCACCGCATCTCTGGATATGAGGGGATTTAGGTTAATTCTAATTTAAACGTAAAGGTTTACACCGCATCACTCTATAAGAGTGGATTTAAATTTAAGAAAAATATTACTGGTTATACCACACTACTGTATAATAATGAGTTAGTTTTTATGTGAAGTTTTACATCGTACCACTATAAGAGTGAATTTAGTCTAGGTTATTATTTTTTTAAGCCAAGTATATACCGCATCACTGAATAAGAATGGATTTCCAGGGAGACAAGTTTTAGATTTTCAATCCATTTTATTAATAATAAAGTTTCATGATAAAAATGTATCCAAATTGCCAAATTAAAAATTATAGTTGCACAATATATCATGTTAAATTTTTTTACCTATTTGAAATGAAAATACAAAGACAACACATAGTATAAAAATTTTTTGAGTGACAGTGCATAATTCTAATTCGGGACGTAACCTAGATGATGATACCATAAAATAAAAATTACTATTGATTCTTTAACAATATTTATGCATTTCAATATTTCTTATAATTTTATACAATAGATGGGAGATAATAACTAACAAAATATTATTTCGAGAACTTTTTATGACAAATTTACCATACTTGGTATAAACTTATATCGATACAAAAAAAACTTGGAATAATATATAAAATGTTATGAAATCATTAAAAACAAATGTGAAATATTACACAGAAAAAAATAAGATTATTATTTCCAGTGCTATTTATAACAACCCTATAGATTACAATATTTATTAGGATCTCTAGATTTTAATGATATTTTCCTAAAAATTTAATAGCTTCAGTATCAGAATTTCCTAAAATTTAACATGAGGGGAATCATTCAATATCAAACTGTAAATTCTCTATTTAAGATTCTCAATAAAGCAGGGTGCCATCTACTAGAACTTGTAGGACTGAACGTAGCCAACGGAAAAAGACCAGATATAACACTAATTTTATTCAAGAGTCTACATGACAGGATTTCCTAGATGCATACCATCTCAAAACCCTATGCCTACCTTCCTAAAAAATCCGCCTTTGCAGCGGCGACCCCTAAAAAATCCGCCTTTGAAGCGGCGATATTTCCACATTAATAATTACCCTTTGTAAATTGTAATGATTCCTTTAATAAATTTTAAAAATAATTAATTATTTTAGCTCTACTACCAACTAACAAAATATCGTGAATATAAAAGAGTTATCTTTTAGATAGTGAATTCATTTAAAAAACCCGCTCATTTACAATGAACGCATTATTAAAGTATATTTCTTGACAGAATATGAGTTTAGCTGAGAATGTCTAACCCTTTGAAAGTTTAATTTATAAAAATGTCTATGATTGTTTGCAATATATAGATTTGGTTGATGATTAGCGAATGATAGTATTATACTAGGTCTATAAATAAAAGTATTGATTTACAGCAATATATCATTCCCTATTTCATCTAAAAATTTAATAGGTAACCCCCAAATAAATTTTTCCAACATTAGGCTCTTACTTCCTTCGAAAAATTTAATGCTAAATTTTTATACCCCCCCCCCTTACCCCCACTCGCTCATATAGATGGAAGGAAAAGAATTAGCTTCGGGATAAATTAGGTATTTTGATGCCTGCCCTTTCAGGAATGTATTATTCAAAAGGAGACGCGAAAATTTAATAAATACACTTTTTTCTTCAATGTTATTTTAATTCCCTTGGTAACGACCAGTTTAATTATAATCTTTTAATTTGATCTAACATTCTGTTAAAGTTAATACTTAATTTAAAATAATTTATAAATTCAATTTTAGATAATAGCTGAAATCAAAAATAAATTTTAATAAAGTTAATAAATTAAGAGAAATTGCTTAGATTAGTTGAAATTTAGAGAAATACTACTTGACTCATCAGTAAGCGCGTCGTTAACTTTTCATAGGGGGTGTATTTTGTTTTTAAAAAATGTGCCTGTAATTTTTTTCCTTCCATTTAAAATTTATATACTAAAATTAATTTTAATTATAGTATTGCATGAAATCACTAATCAAAATAATATCTAGCATAAATGTAGAATAAAATAAAACAAATGCTCTACCCACATAACCAAAAAATAATCCCAATCAAAAAGCATATCGATTTTAGTAACAAGATATTAGAAACACTACTTTGAATATTTAATTATTATTTGGTTTAATTAAATATGAAAAAAAATAAGTTAATAAAATTAATTTATAAAATAATCATTATAAATAGAAGTATTTTTTAATGATTACAAATTGGTATAAAATTAGGAATCCCCTTTTTAAATAAAACGGAAGATTGAAAGGCACTTAAATGAAAGATAAAAAAATCAGATTAAAATTTTTACTAATTATGATAATAAATGAGGAACTTTGAATAATTAAATTATTACTTGTATTGGGTTTTATTTTATTTTGATGTGTAAAATCTTAAAATAAATATATGTATCTAGATTATATATTATTTTTTTTAAAATATCTCAACTGTGTAAGGCAAAAAAAATTCTAAAAATTAAGTCATTTCAATATTACAGAAGTATAATTATTTAAAAATTAATTATATAAAAATAGTTTATATGCTCCTTAATGGGACCACTTATTATTTACGAATAAGGAAAGTCACCCGTTTATATATAAAAAAATAAGAATTTACATTGTTTAGACAATTGCTACATGGACTGTCTTTATTCTTTAATCTCTTTTATATTTAATCCGAGAAGATTCGATGGAAAACCCAACTTAAGGGAATTTTTTTGGATAAAATATCTTTGAAGTTAAACAAGTAGGATTAAAGGTTATTTAGATAGATTAAGGTTATTTATATGTTTAAGAGATATTGTTTTAAAAATGATTTTTTTGTCAAATCTGACAAGTCATGTGATTGAAAATTCTTTGATTTGGATGATTTTATCTTAACTATGATATGGATTACCTAGAGGTGCTAGCTATTGCTGAAAAAAATAAACGAGAAAATTTAAGAAATGTTTTAAATTTTGATATTTAGAGTCTACATATTTATTTAGACCAAAAAAGAGCTTTCTCACAACCCTATTAAACAACATAATTTTTTTTTAACGCGTAATATAGATGAATTTCAAAAATCTATTTCAAAAAGAAAAGGTTAGTCTTTTTTATGAATTTCAATATAATGTCTATTGTCATAAAATTTAGCACATTTTTCAAATAATGATTGTAAATTAAAATCTACATTTCTAACTGCTTCAAAAGAAAAATGCAAAAATATTCAACAAAACTCTTCAAAATTAATATCGAAAAAACAATTTCCCATTAATACTATTAAGGAACTGAATAAAAATATTAAGAATTCAAAAATTATTCCTAATAAATCTTTTAAGTATGACGAACTTTTGAAATTAGCTGATCTTAATAAAAAAGAAATTGGTATATCTAGCCCAAAAATCTCCAAAAATTACCAATTTAATCAAAAAAGCATCAATTTAGATTATCTTACAAAAAAAATAGAACAAAAGAATGCCAATAAGCCAAGTAAATACATACATTTAAATATTTTGTGTTATTAGATACACTTTTTAAAGAGAATATGCCTCTTTTGAGATGTTTAAAAATATATATTTCCATTTTTCTTAAAACAAAACTATCAAGATTTTTTAAAAATTATATATTAGTGTGTCCATTTCTTGATATATGTGTTTGATGGAAATTAAATCAGCTGCTATTTGAGAAAGGTAATAATTTAGTTATTGAAAGGTTAAACTATAAAATCACATCATAGCAATTTGTTAACAAAAGGAAAAATCAAAATTTTATTCTATTCTATATAAAGTAAGAACAATATTTGAAACAAATATTAGAATTAGACACATAAATCAAGTAGATTCAATCAAAAATAATTTATCAAATAGATATATACATTGTATGAACTATTTTTGTTCAGAACTTTAAGAATTGGAATGTTTTCAATGAATTTAAAAATGTCATGTGCAAATCTATAAAACATTTGTAGAGTAAAAATATGACATACAGACCTAGACTAAATATCAGCCCAGGTATACTGGCCAGTATAATTTTTACAAATAAACATGGGTCGGGCTTGGATTTTTTTCATCAACTAGGGACAGGACAATTATAAAATTCAGGGGACTGAATATTTTAAACTCAACTATAATATTATGGCTATAATTTTTTTGGGCAGTAAATAATCAAAATAAGCAGTATTTTTATTATCAACATTAATCTTTTAGGCAATTTTTTTTTATAAAAAAATAACCAATTTGTGCTATATAATATTGAGCAGTAAATAAAATTAAGTTGAATTATAACTAAAATTGTATTGCACAATATTTATTTGAAAGTTGTTTAGTATTTATTCAAATATCTTTTTATTATGAGCTACCAAGTATGGTTTATGAAAATGTTAAAAGATTGCAGCTTTTATTGAAATAATTTTTATATCTAAATTAATTAAAACTTACATGTTATTGTACAACAAGAGTCTTTTAGGTTATTACAAATTTTTTATGAAAATTAACATATCAAATATATATAAAAATTAGTAAATTATCAAATATATAAAAATTAGTAAATTAACAAATATATTATATTAGATCATTGTGCATTGTGTCATTTGAGCAAATCTAAAAAATAATTTATAAATGTTTATATCTAAATAATAATTAAAACTTACTTGTTATTGTATAAGAGCCTTTTTAGCTTTTGAATTTATTGAAGGTAATATTATTATTTTTTTTAAAAATTTCCATAATCATTTTAGGTTTGAGGCCCATTTTAAATAAAGTATCTATCTCTAATTTTACATCAGACACTTTGAGAATTTTAGTTTCACTAAGTTCATGAGTATGATATTGAGATGTCTATGCTAGATTATCATCATTAGAATTATTAAGGAAATTAAGTAAAAGTTATGAATAAATCAGGCTTACCATATTTTAAAATAGTTGTCATAGCATCATGATATCGTCTTGCATATTCCTAGGAGAGCCTTGAAATGAAGAAGGTAGAATAATTGGGCTGCTCATTGGAGATTATATTGAAGTAGAACATGCAGATATTAAATAATTAGTGCTGTAAACATTTCTAAAAAAATCAAACACGTTCACTTTCAAAAAAAATGGAACGCGTTCACGTTCGATCAAAATTTTATGATAAATTTTATATATTAGCCATGTTAAAAAATAATATAATTTTATTTTGATAATATAATTATAAATACAATATAATATAGCAAATAAAAGATATCTTATTTATTAAAAAAAAATTCTTATTAATTTTTATTAACATTTGTTTTAAAAATTTTCATCTGATAGAGAAGAACGCTTGGCAATTAATATGGCATTAGCTATACTAAAAACGCGCTCTACAGGAGCGAGGGGATTGTGGTATTATACTTAATAAACAACGCTTTTAGGGATTTTATTAAAAACATTTATTGTTTTGTCCTTTGCTTCAAAAAATTGAGATAAGTTATCCTCCTCCAATCCATCTTTTAATTTCTCGTCAAAAAAGGATATCGAAATTAACAGTTCTTGCATTATCATTTCTAGGGTTTTCAATGCATTTTTATAAAAGGCTATAAGTTTATTTTTTATAGATTCGTTCTGTGGAAGTTTTATCCATGGGCATTGAAATGTGAATACTGTATGTATAATTGCAGAAAGAACATATTGATCTTCATATGTGTTCAAATCTTTAAAAAAATAAAATATATGTAATTTATTTGAGTGATAGGTTTAGTACATTTTATTAATCCCATTTAATACTGCGTCTATCAATGGTTGACCATATTTTAGGCCACTATTTTTTTTAATTTTTAAATAACTATCGTTATTGTTGGGTTCCAAATGCTTTTTTCTACAAATTTAATGATTACATAGTTATATTATATAAAATAAAATAATTAATATTACAATCAAATGTCGTTTTAAAATGGAACTTGAAGATTTTGAAATTGATAATACTTTTTGTGCACATTTTACATTTGGTAAGTAATGAATTAGTTCCTTCAATATAAAATTTTGCTGTAAAATATTTATCAAATTTTGGCCATGGTAATGTTAATTCATCTGATTTTGAATTTTCAGAATCAGATGATGAAATAGTAATATCCATGTTTATTTTAATCTATTCTAGAATAATAGCGTGTTAAAAAAATTGATTGAAAAAGAAAAAACAGATGATTATAAATAAAATATAAGACTTTTTCCTTAAAAAATTAGGATTAATATTAAATTTTTCAAATAAAATAAAAAGTGATTTTAAAATTGAACGAACGTTAAATTCGAACGCATTCACGTTTAAAGTTCCTCAAAAATAAAAGGAACGCCGTTCATCATTTTTTTCAAAAAAAATAATCTTCGTTCACTAACGTTTTCGTTAGCAACACTAAAAAATACATAAATTGACTAAATATTTAAGAACTATATTAACAAAACCCAAATAAATTATTAAAAATTACATTAAATTATAAATAAATTTCATTTATTAAAATGCGCCACTGCGATAAAAATTTATTAGTCGCAAATTCGGCGCAAAACAACCACTAATAACAATTAAATAAACAGCTACCAATTTATATCTCGGCAAACACGTCTAATCAGAACTGACACTGACACAAATTTAAAAAAAAGCCCATCACAAAAATACTTTCCTCAAATGTCTTTGATACAGATACATTAAAAATACCGATACATTTCACGTTTAATTTAATCATTAACAAATACATGTATATTAAAATATGAAAAAAAAACAAGCTACATTTATAAAATAACATTTTAAAGTTTATATCAATGAGCCTTCTTATCACAAATTATAATCTTGTATTTTATAAATAGTTGTTAATATTTCGAAAATTATTAAAAACAGGGAAATCCATTTAAATTTTCACCATGCTTCTTTTATGGAGAACTGGGAAAGGTGACAGTTCCTTAACTACCTCCGATATCAACTCTTTTTTTTTCTTTCTCTATTTTAAGTATTGTATTTGTTGTTTTGTGTTTTTGTTATATATAATGATATATATAAAATGTCAATCAAAAGTGATCTTTGGAAGTTAGTTTTTGTTAATGGATGATTATGGGAGGAAAATGATCACGTTGATTTTTGGTGTAATTTTTACAAGATGTATTGCTGATTTGATATATATAGATGATAATAAAGTTCTTGATATAACTAAAGTTCTTAATATAATAGTATTCAACCCTATTCAAGCTTGAAATGTGGGTGGAGCATTGCAGCCATTATATTTTCGTCATCATTAATGTAAATCTCGACACAGAAGAAATTATTGTAATTGAAACATAAAATTCGAAATATCTTTTATAAGAAATAAGGAGATAATAATATTAATAAAAAAATGTAACATAATTTCCAGTAGGACTATGTTGATCCATAATTTTTTTATCGATCCGATATTCATACAAACCTTATGCGATATTTTATGCAAAAAAGGAAATAAACTACATTATACTATGGGCAACAATAAACACTTTGGAATTTTTCGTTTCTCATATCCAATGCGATGTGTGGATTATAGCGAATTATTAAGCAATTTAATTTTTATTTCCCAAATTTCAAAAATATGTGCAATATTTATGGAATGTGACTCGCTTTAAAATACGATTTTTTAAAACATTATAAATGAATATTTCATTTATTCAAACTGATAATTTTGGCGGTTATTTTGAAAATATTGGTTCGGCCCGACTTTTTTAAACGATAAATATTGGTCCTGATCCGATATTATCGATACAGTTCTAATTTCATGTTTGAATTAGTATAAACTTTAAAATAATAATTTATATGTTTAATAATATAAAATAAATTATATATTTTTTTTCTGAGCTCGGCAATTGATTAAATCACAAAATAATTTTTGGAATAATGCTTAATAAATAAATGTACACGTATGAACCAGAAATAAAGAATTTCGCATGGATAATGCCAGCAATGCAATATTTAGTCATTGGATCGCAAATCGGTTATCGGTCAAATCACGATATTTTTAAAATATTTTTTGGGATATTACACATATAGATAAATAAAACAAAAATGAACATTTTTCAATTGATATTTCTAGAAAATTTGGTCAATCGAATATTTAGTAATTGGTCGGTTTTGAGCTCGGCATTCGGTCAAATCATAATATTAATATTTTTAGGATAATGCTTAACACCCAAATGTACACTTATAACCCAAAAATAAAGAATGTTCCACGGATAACGCCAGCGATGCAGTATTTCAGTTTCAAATCGGTTATCGGTCAAATCACGATATTTTTAAAATATTTTTTGGGATGATGTTTTACACGTAGTTATAAATATATAAAACAAAAATGAACATTTTTCTATTGATATTACTAGCAAATTTGGTCAATCGAATATTCAGTAAGTTGTCCGTTTTGAGCTCGGCATTCGGTGATAATGCTTAACACCTAAATGTACAAATATCAACCAAAAATGAAGAGATTTTGATCATAACGCCAACAATTTGTGCCTTACAAGCTCTCTATT